TCCACATAAATTTGACGCACCGTTAATGAAATTAATTACCTGGCATGGAGCTGAAGGTGATGGGGGCCGGGCTGCTTTTGATGACGACTTGTCAATCCGTCCTAAAAGAGCTTTAGTACGTTCTGACATGATCTCTGCCAAATACCCATTTTTCAGAAGATACGCGACCTCCTTCCGCAATGCGACGCAATCTTCGGTATTGTGTCCGATGTCATCGTGGAAATCACAATGCTTACTTGGGTCTCGCTTTCCAGCTGGTTTGTCGGTTTTCCTTGGCCATCGGACTTTCTCTCCAAGCCTTTCCAGTGAGTTGATGAGCCCTGCCGTACTGACATTAAAGCAATAATCTGGGATAACTGGTGGTAGATCAGGGTCGTCAAACCAATGTGTCGTTGCCGCAACAGGTCGTTCTTCAGCTTTGGCGTAAGGTTTGCCGGTTCGGTAATCATGTCGTCTGGACGTATTGGACTTGCGGTACCCCCCTTCATAACCGTCAAAGTGTGGTTGTGCCCGCAAATCTTCTTCCAACCTGATAAAGGCTAAGGTTATAGCCTGGACATCTTCAAATGTCCGACAAGGAAACTTTGTTAACTCCCGGTACAACTCGGAATCGTTCTTCAATCCCCTTCAGAATGCTTCGATTGCCGTAGGCATGTCGCACCTTGAGATTGATACCTTCTCCCTGTTGAAACGATGAAGGTAGTCTCTCAAAGATTCATCTCTCTGTTGGACAATCCTATACAGGTCGCTTGTTTGTTTCTCCAGGGTGCGGCTGCTTGCAAATTGTTGAGTGAATGAGTCGACCAACTCTGTGAACGAATCGATCCCTTCGTTTGGCAAGTTGACGAACCATGTCAAGGCTGGTCCTGAGAGCGTCGTTCCAAACCCTCTGCACATGCACGCTTCTCTTTGGTCCGGATTGAGTGCTACGGCTAACATACGTTGCTTGAACTGAGCCACGTGCTCCAATGGGTCGGACGTTCCATCAAACATCTTCATGGCAGGGGCGACGAACTTCCTGGGTATCTCGACATTGGTGATGCGTCTGCTGAATGGGGACTCTGCATAACATGTCCTTGACGCTCTGTCCAAAGGTGGGGGTACTCCTCGTAGCCTGTTGATTTTGTCTTGCATTTGACGCATTTGCTCCATCAACATAGACATCTTATCTGCCACAGCTGGATGATTTGGAACTGGAAATGAAGACGTCGGTCCTGCCATCTGGGTGACTTCGGGACGGGTTGGAGATGGGACGAAGATCACCTCGGGACGTCGCTCAAGAAGCGTCGACGTTGCTGGCCTGTCGGGTCTGTCAGAGCGCCGCGGTCGGGGCTCTATGAATGATACATTAGGCCCACTTCGCCTAGCGTCCTGCATGAAACTTGACGGACCAGCTTCTCCATAAATTCTGCTACTGTAGTGAGGAGTAAACGGTTCCGTTGGGGTAAAAGTCACACCAGTTGACGGATTGGAACGCGATGGACCGGGGTCCCCACTGGTTCTGCTCCTGTAATGGGGAATCGACGGGTCTGTCGGGGTGGAGGACAGAGTTGTCATAGGCATGCTTTGGGTTGCTGAATGTAGGCCCGATCCATTCGGTCTGACTCGAATAGATTCCGGAAAATAACAAGCCAGAATGCTGGCTGGTGGTGTAGTTGCTGGTATAAGAGGTGTGTAAGGAATAACCTGCGAGATGACTGTTGAGTATGGCTCCCCGGTTGGTGTTGGTGACAGATCCAGCGTAAGAGAGACTGGATCCGTCGATGTTGCGGGTGGATCCGTCGCTGCGGGGGAGAAACCGAGATCTAGCCTTGTTGCGGCAGTCATTGTGTCACTCCTCCGATTGAGTCTTGATTTTGAGGCTATTGACACCGCAGATTCTACCTGGGACCGAAGTACATCGTTCTCTCGTTGAAGATGGGCCATTTTCTCCGCCACCTCACGCCGGAATTCCTCTCGGATCGTCTCTAGCTGCTCATGGAATTCAATCAACAATTGATTTGTTCCTGCCATATCTAAACTCTTTCTTGCACGATGCCCCACGGTGGGCGCCAAATTATTTAAGCAAAATATTGATAAGCTAAAACTAATTAAAAAGGAATTTGTATAAAGAAAGGGCTTCGAACAAGAATAGAGAAGGAGATGACAAGAGAGTGAATAAGAATGAAAACTTGTGTGTTATTCGAATGTTTCAGCTGCCCTGATTACAATGAGGCTATATTATTTATAGGAAAGGTAATTAAAGCCCTAATGATGAGTTTTTACGTTATTGACGGATAGGTCATCCGTTACGTACTGACGGATTCAAATCCGTCATAAAGGCTGATCAAACACATTTAATACCTTCCTTAATCACATTAAGGAGCCTAATAATGTACAAAAAACGTTACAATATTTAAAAATGATATTCTTGACGCTTCAATGACTCTATTTGCCCGTTTTGGCAGTTTGACGTAACGGTTCCGACCCGTCAGTTTCGCAACTCGTCATCAATGCTGGCCAGCTCAAAATAAGTAACCTCCAGCCTTAATATCGTTGATAACTCCAATAATAAACACAAATCCGTTACAACAGCCATCATTAAGCCTCATTAACTTTTGTGATCATCTCTCTTTAATGCAAAATATATTGCCAAATAATTGCACTAACAACTACTGAACTGAATTAACAGTTTACTTCCGGGATTGTTGAGTAAGTTTTTTCATTCAAAAACTTGTACGTAGTAGTTTATACGGGTATAATTTAATAGCTTTTGTTTTTTATTTTAGAACTTAGCTAGGATGGTTAATGTGATGATATTGGCTAATGCGTATGGTTAGTTTGCTACTCTCAATGTGCCTTGCTGCCGCCGTATTAAATATCACAAGAGCTACTTGACTAGGTTACTTGATTGTGAATTACTGAATTTATGTACAACAGTACAATTATAGGATGATTTTATTATTTGTAATTTGTAAAATCATTCATGGGTGATTCTTAATATCTATACACAATAGTGACTTTTGAAAGTGTCAAGAAAGTAATTTGATAATGTTTTTCAAATATTTTATTTATAATATGTCAATAAATAAAATCTAATCAAAATAGAATATGTAAATAGTGCGAAATTCATCGATATTGCAACAAAAAATGGAGGTAGTATATGTTTTCTTATACGTACTACTACGTAGGAGTATATAATATAATTAAATGGTATATTTGTTAGATATCTAATACTCCGTAGTTTAAAGATATATTTGTTCCAAATTTAAAAGCTACATAGTATGTTTTAATTTATTTGTTTCAAACTGAAATTAGACTATATATTTGCTCACACAAAAAATTCAAGCTATATTTATTCCTTCTCTTTGTATTTTCCAGCACCGGCTCAAAAATAGTTCTGGTTCCGCCACTGACTGTAGACATGGCTGGAGCCGCCACCTTCATACTGGCCCTAGTGCAGCGTCGCCGCCTCACTGCCACTTCTCTCTCAGCCCAGGCAATCTCTTCCCTTCGATCAGCTCATCTAATTAATTTTGTAGTTTTTCTTAATATGTGGGTTTCAAATATTCCCTACTCAGCTCCTCTCAAAACTTGATCAAGTTTGACACCATAAAATTTTATTTAAATATAAAAATGATAAAGTTAGTGAGACAACTAAAAAACGAAAATTTTAAGGGATTGAGGAACTAGTATGGATTAAATTAGGAAAAATCTTCTTTACATGAAATTTATACATACTTAGCACACTACGTAATTATATGTGGACATAGATAATGTGTACACTATTAGTTTCCCGTGTACATAAGCAGTTTGCAAAGTATACATCCTAGTTGTTCGTGTATACATGTAGTTCGTCAAGTGTACACCACTAATTGCTCGTATACACATGCAGTTCGCAAAGCATTGTCTGTGTACACAGAAAATTTCGTACAATTGTGTGTACAATTTTTGTATATATGCACCAATTCTAAGAATTATTGATGGATTGGTTTTAAGCATGTAACCATTTATATATAGAGTATATGATTTTGTAGACCACAGTAGCATAACATTACTTCGTATAAAGCTTTGTTTAATCTTTAATTCAGATATATGATTGGTCCTACACGAAGTGCTAGTGCTAAGTTATTGTTAGCCAAATGTATGTTGTTACTTCTTATACGTAGTACATCGAAAAGAATGTATATTTCCTACCCTTTTTAAGTTAGACAATTCTACTTTCTGAGTGTAAACTTTGATATTATGAATCATTTTAATTAATAGGGAGTATATTTGGACGAAACTTATAATTTTATACTTGTAGGACAATATATTTTTAAACAATTTTTTTTTATACGGAGTACTATTTTAATATTATAAATATTCCACATATGAATATATTATCAAACGAAATTAAGTATCTTTAACTTGAAAAGTCAAAGATTATTAACAAAAAAGAAATGAAGAGAAATTGTTTTTTATACATCCAAAATTTGTGTGTTTTTTATTCCTCAAACAAAATGTATGTTTTTATTTTTCAAGGGGGTTACTTTCTTTTTCCCGACCCTAATATCTTGTCGTTAAAGAAAAATACACAAAACGGAATCCAGTAAAGAGCCAAAAGGCCCAAATTTAACTAATATATGTATCATTTACAAAAAACCAACATGGCAAAAAATTTGTTAATTAAGATCAGCCCGGTCCAGTATGATTAGGTTTTATAAATTCAGAAGAACCCTGATACATTTTGAGTTCGGGGTAAAAATTTACCATTTTGTTAAGATCGCATTGTTTCGATACGCTTACAAACCAGTTTAATTTCGTACCATTTCAGTTCGGTTTTTATGTATGCATCTGGCATATACTTCGTATTACGGTATTACCATCGTTAGTTAACTGTATGGTCAATGAAACATCGTAAACCGTGTGAGAATCTTTACGGAGTGAGTAACAATTTACCTTATTTTTCTGCAGCTCTTGATGCCACTGACAGTTAGCAGCAACTTCTTGCGCCGCTTTTCCAGTAGCACAAATCAACTGGAAAAACAAAAGCCACCTAATATACTTGTCCTGAGAGATAATACACCTGACGGTAGGCTATGTTACTACTCTATTCTCAAGTATCATCAGGATAGTGGGAGCTTCTCTCTGGTTCGAGACACTGTCACACACACAGGTGACATGTATTTAGGCCATGAACTTTTTGGGTGTAGTGAAGGCATGTTTTGTTTAAACAATTACGGGGAAATGGTTTTATGGAACCCATTCCTCAACCAATTCAAACACGTCCCGAAGTCGCCTATTCCTCGGCTAGCGGTCGGTGACAACGACTCGGTCCACGTGGATCCCGTTATGTTCGGATTCGATCGAGAATCCGAACCCACGGGGAATTTTAAAGCTTTTAGCTTAATCCATAATATCCTTGATCCTGACGGTAACGATTATACTTCAGAAATCAAACACCAAACAGAGGTGTACTCATTGAACACAAATTCCTGGAAACCAATCAAAGTCTCTATTGGTGATCATTACTTCTATATATACGGGGGGAATCCTGTACATGTTGATGGTAAATATTATAGGCTTGCAACTAGGTCCTGTGGGGAGAAGCTTACGAGGAGTGTCATCATTTCATTTGATTTTAGTAGTGAGGAGTTATCTTTCGGTGAAAGGCCCGAGCCCGAGGACGAATCGCCGCGCCACAAGTGGGAACTCTTCGATTATGGAGGGTTGCTTTGCGCGATTCGTTACCCCCGTCCGGATGGGGATGAAGAATCTTGGGAGGTCTTCCTGTTGAAGGAAGATGGGGGATGGAAAAAGAAGTTTGCATTGTTGGGTTCCCTCCTTAATTGAGAAGTTCATGAGAATTCTAGAATATTGCGGAGATGTCTAGAATTCTCTAGATGTGTGTAGAGAAATATTGCATGTTCTAGAATATTCCGTAGCTTTCTAGAGAGACGTAGAATTATCTAGAAGCGTGTGGAAGAGTGTAGAAGCTTCTAGAACATTCTGAAGCAGTGTGGAGTTCTCTAGATCCTTCTTGAAGATTAGAGAAGCTTGTTGTTAGTTCTTGGAAGAATCTAGAAATGTAGTGATGTATAGAAAGTTCTAAAGAAGCTTTGAGAAGAGTAGTATAAATAGAAGTGACACTCTTCATTCCTAGGTGAGCCTCTAGAGAGAGAGCCATGTGAGGGCCTAAAGAGAGAGCCTAGAGAGAGCCTCCTCAAGTGATGAGAGAGAGATCCTTGAGGAGGCTCTTGAGTGAAGGCCTCCTGTAGAGAGGGATGTGAGAGTGAAGTAGTCTCATACAAAGAGTGATGTGAGCTACCCGTTTACTTGTAAAATATCTCTTGTACATTTCAATTGTATAATACAAAGTGATATTGTTAGATTGAATCTTTGTGTTACGAGTGGGTGGGTGAATGTACAAGAGTCCTTTGAGCTGGTGATCCTGGAAGAGGTCGGGGGTCGTGTTTTCCCCAATAGTGGTATCAGAGCCGAGGTTGTTGGAGGTAGAGTAACGGGTGGAATTCGTCGTGGGGATAGATCTCGTCTTACCATAATAGTAGCAGTGTTGGTAGAGGCATTCGAGATCATGCTCTTTGAGGGGATGTTGGACTTCACTTTAGAGCTTGGGTCATACATATATGGAGCAGAGTGATGAGATGCATCGTGTGGATATGATGGTTCTCAGGCTGGTCTCGTGATTTGATCTATTAGTGGTGCGTTGTATCAAAAGTCTTCCTGATATTGTGGTGGTCAGGCGGCGTGTCCCGTTGGTAAACAACGGCGGTACAAGAAGAATTGCAGGTCAAGTGTCGGCGGAAAGGAGATCTTCTTGAGAACATCTCATACAGGGTTTGGTCTTGCGATTTGATCTACTATTGGTGTGTTGTATCGAAAGTCTTCCTGATATTGAGGTGATCAGGCGGCGTGTCCCGTTAGTAGATAACGGCGGTACAAGAGAGTTTGGTGGATCAATTCTTGTTGCGGAGGAGATCATGACCATTCCTAGGTGGCTGCTCGTATGGTGTGATGCAAGCATTATTGTTTGAGGGGGAGCAACTCACATGTGAGGTGGAGACTGCTGAGTCTAAATGTGAGGCTCGTATTGGTGGTTGAGTGTTACTTCTCAATTAAGTCGGTAGGGAGAGATTTGTTGGGTTCCCTCCTTAGCACACATGCTGATATAATAACTATAAACAAAGTGGACAAACTATATCATCTGCATGCACAAACTGAATTTGCACACACACACTGATGTTACTTGTAGATGAGACTGAATTAGTATTTTACTGAACTGGCGTAATGAAAGTTGTTGGCTTTCAAATTGTTGTGGTTGACGATGGTGAAACTTGGGATTGGAGCAGCGTGACTTGTGTTTCAAATCAATTATATTCCATTGAAATCCATATAATTTTATGAAATAGAATTCCATAGAATTCCTTTTGAATCTCATGGAATCTATAGAATTCTATTAAAATCCATGGAATCTACACTCCTTTAAAATCCATTAAAGTTTGTATTGGGGACACCCCCCCTAAGATTATAGAACGGAATACAAATCCACATGGCTCTGCGAACAATCGTCTCCGGTGTGAAGCGCCGTCTTCTGCCGCCCCCCGCCAATCGCTCGCCTCACATCCCCTCCTCTCTTCATGTGGTCAGATGTTGCGCCAGCGTCTCCTCAATCCTGACCCCGACCACCTGTTGCATTGAGTGTGCTGAAATAATGCTCCATTTCCCTAGGATGGACTTTGAATGATGGAGGGTTTCCGTGGAATACCCTGATGATGAAGATGAAGAACCAGAGGATAAAGAGAAATCGATAGACTTCTATACCAAAACGCTAACCAAAGTTGTTGGCAGGTAATAACCTTATATGCCTTTTATTGTGTGTGCATAGACTTCATATTACTGTTTGCGAAGTTTCAATAAACCAGTAACAGATTTTTTTCGATTGTAAAAATCATTCATATAATAACCATTCTTTGTTATGAAACAATAGTCAGTCCATGCAATTTTGGACGCGATTTTCACTACGGGTCATCCAGAAACAGTCTCTTTGTGCTTTAGTACAGGGGTAAGATTGCTTACATCCGACCCCCTTACCCTACCATAGGTGCCTTTGCGGCACTAGGGTAAATGAAAAATGAAATGATGAGTGTTATATTGTTTGTGAAATTTGACTGACAATCAAAAGTTGTCAAAGTTATAGATTTTGGTCAATAATCATCCACCAAATACTACTCTTTCGTGTGGATTTCGGCTATTTTTACTCCTGCTATAATGTATAATTTCTTGAGTTAATTTTGTACTTCCCATATAGCTAAAATTGTTTCATCTTTCCTTTTTTATCCATCTTACCAAGATTTTCTCATATCAAATTTGGTATGTTTTGTTTGTTTTAAATCATTTTTACCTTATACTTATTTTATCAATTTAATTTGAAACACATAAACTCATTTTTGTTAATAACCGTGCCAACTTCTCCCAATATTCGGGAGATGGAGGTAATAATTTATTTTGTAGTTTCTTATTTATTTGGTATGGCTTCTTAATGCAGTTTCTCGTAAATAAAATAATGTTTATTCTTGTATGTACTAATTTCAATCGGCTGGATTGGTTTTCTGGTTGCTGTCTATTCATTTTTTATTTATATAAATGTTATTGCGTAATTGTGTTTTCTGATGCATGTGTCTAAGTGGGGAAGAAGCTAAGAAGAGGGTTTATGATGTTATTTCCTTCAACCGTAAACACTACACGTTTGCCTGCAAGGTTGATTCTAACACCTCATGTAAAATTCAAGGTTCTATATATTCTCCTTTCCCCCATTTCTCTCTTTAAATGAAGTGATGGAAATTGGTTGATGTTTGTCTTTTGTCGATTGATATATAAGGTATGAAGTTTGGCCTGTTTCTTTTTTATACAGATGTGCCCACTGTTTGGGGCAAGAGGCCATATTTAAATCCTCTAAATCCTCGTGCGGCGATTAAAAGTAAGTTTAATCCAACATGCTCCTCATCTTTGCCAAGTCGTCGTCATCATCATTACCCTAGTACCGCAAAGGCTCCCACCTATGGTAGGGTAAGAGGGGGTCGAATGTGTACAATCTTACCCTTGTACTAAAACACCTTAGGCTAAAGCACAAAGAAATTGTTTCGAATTACCCATAGCTAAATCATCTTAGGCTAATTGCATGGACTATAATTTGCCAAGTGTTTACATCAATTAGTTTTGTTGTTTAGTATATAAGCATGATAGAAAATTAGAAACTTCACCTATTGCAGATCTTTTTCTGTGAAGTAGACATAAATTTACGAATGTCTTTAATTGGACTATAATTTTCCGATCTGGTTCTAGTCTTTTTAAGTTTAGTCCGCTAGAGCTTAGATGTCTTTTCAATGGTATTTATAACTGTTGAGGTTTGATATGATCTGAATTATTGTTGGTGTAGTCTGATTTGCAACTAAAACCAGTAGATTTAAACATCTTACGGAGTACATAATATGAAACCTTTAGTATGGACTAAGCTACTCTCCTCATTGTCTTTAATTAACTGAGGCCCCAATGCATGCATACATGCATACATCATACATAAATGCATACATCATATCAGGTGGCCGAGGTTAGAATTGACCTTTGCATCGTCATCAATTGTGTAGGTGTTGAACCGAAAGCTGTTGTCAGCGTTAGAATGGAGACGTTTGACGAATAAACATTGCAGTGATAATTAACAAGGATCAAATGCAATTTTATGCATTATGGTGGACTTGTTTTTATCTCATTCTTTTTAGTGTGCTTAGTTGTGTTGTCTTGTTTGATGAAAAAACAAGGTTTTATCCAATAGCATTAGGTATTCATGGGGAAAAACGAAGTCTTTATTGGCGAACATCTATGCCTCATGAGGTCTTTTTATTGTTATAGGAGCTGTTCTATTCAAATGTTATACTGTGTATAATATAATGTTTCTTTTATTTGTTCCACACTATTTTATATTGCTGAATAGGTGACTTTTTATCTAAATTATACCTTATTAGACAATATATGTATATTCAACTACTTTCAAACAAATAAATATGATGTGTGAAAATTTGTCACAAATATATGCATGTTTGCCTTACAAAAAAGTTAAATAAGTGTATGTTAAGTTATTTGTCGTCAATAAAAAATCGAGTTTTTTCCACTTTTAGTCCTTCGATTATTATGTCACTGACACTTTTGGTACTCGACTTTGATTTTTTCCACTTTTAGTCCTCAACTATTATACTAGAGACACTTTTGGTACCCATCTTTGAAAATCTCCATTTATACTCTTTCGACTTACATAAAAGTGACACTTTTGGTCTTCCAACTATTATAATAGTGACATTTTTGGTCCGTCACTTATTGTGTCAAAATCATAATAGAAGGACTAAAAGTGTCAATTTGATAATATCAAAGGACTAAATGTGGAACACTTTGAAGTCGAGGACTAAAAGTGTCTCTAACACAATAGTTGAGGACTAAAAATGGAAAAATTAAAAGTCGAGTACCAAAAGTGTCACTGACACAATAGTCGAGGGACCGAAAATGGGAAAAAATCATAAAAAATCTTTTGGCTTGAAAAAGAATCATTGTATACAAGTATACAACCTTTAAACAAAGGTTTAAGTTGAGTCTACGCGTTATTAATTTCATATGTTAACGTATGCGCTTATTTAATTTGATTTACAGAAAGTTTAATGAGGTGCATTTTGTAGTTTATTTCTGGAAAACTTATTGTTCCTTCTCATTTCAATTCTTTGTATTGTGTTGACATTATTTATTATTGTATGATGTATGTTTATTTTTTACTTATTTTTGCGGTTACTGTGATTTTTTAATCAATAGAATTGTTTTGTCAAAAAGAAGAAGAACTAAAACCGAATTGAGTACGTCAAGTCAAACCAACAAAATTGTGGTTTGGAATTTTGAATGACAAAATGGAACTCAACTTTTTATTCTGATAATTTTGCCTTAGAATTGATTGGATCAAACACACACGGTGTGACACACCCAACTTACAATATAAAGTAATGGCTAGCTGGGAGATGACTTTTCGCTAAATAAGAGTATCTGGGGGAAGGGTTTATATGGGAGGCAACTTCTTCTTGTACGCATATTTGTCTGTGAGGAGTTTTTTTTGTCTGTGTATCCGATTCACAGACAAAATAATTTATATAGACATGTTTTATCTGTGACCGGAATTCTCAGACAAAAACAAACTTCTCACAAACATGGTGGGTACAAAAGTGGGTATAAGAGTGGGTACTAACAGTTTTTTGATTGTGTAATAAGCACAAAAAATAAGGTTGAACTTACTTTTCTGGCCGCACTGGCTAAAGTTACTGTAGATGATCATTTTAGTTATTTTACATATAATTTTTCTTTATTTTATTAATAAAATATATTTTAAAAATATTTTTTTCTTAAATCAGCAGAATCAGCTAATGCAGCCACTTCAGTCAGAACTTCATAAATTTCAACAGAATCAGCCAAATCAACCGATTTTCGTGCTACCAAACGGGCTATTAGTGTTATAAGATTTATAACTACAACGTCAAAAACAATAATAATTAAGTCTCCCTAATACGACCTTGTATTTAAAGATCACTACATTAATTTGATTTTGACACTATTTAAAGAGTGTTTCCGATTGCTTCTAGTCTAGTTTAATAAAGTGTTTTTTAAAGTGATTTTGAAAAAAAGTGTTAAATAGTGAAAGTTGGTAGTGTTTAAGAAAAAAGTGCTTCTATTAAATGTATCAAATAAATTTAATCAGATAAATTTAAGCAAATAAATTATACGATAGTATTTGATATAGTTAATCAGATAACTTTTAAACAAATAAGTTTGATCAGATAAATTTGAATAAGATAAATATAATCAGATAAAATAAATCAAGTAAATATAATCAGATAAATTTAATCAGGTGAATATAATCAGATAAAATTTAATCAGATAAAGATAATCACCCGCTTAATTTCAAAATTTTTGATTTGAAATTATCTTTTGTGATCATTATTCGAAATTATTTAAAAATCATTATTTATTCAAAATATAATAATTGAGCAATTATTTAAAAAAACTCTAGCCGGATGTGCAACTTCCAACGGGAGTGTGATTCCAATTTTTTAAAATAAATCTTATCTCTGGTTGGATTCCCCACGTCACTTTCAACTAGAGCTTTTTTACAATTAAACCAACCCTATCTCCAGTTGGATTTCCCACTTCCGAATTTTCATAAACCCTAAAACATTGCCCGCTTTTTTGCATTGCATTGCATGTAAATCACCCTTGATTTTCATTCCCAATACCCTTATTAAACTAATTAATTTTCCTCCCTAATTCCCTTGGGTAACCGGGGCAGTCTGTTGGTGGTGGAGGCAGAGGTGGAGCTCCGGCAACTGCGGCGGTGGCAGCAGTGGCGGAGCCACAGTTGTTCCAAGGTGTTGGTATATATGTGTAATTCTAGTATAATTATTTATTTCTCTTAAAATTTATAGTTGTAAAAAAGAATTGAACTCCCAAAATTTGACTTCCACTGGGTGGCAGGCGGG